TAAGCTTCATCCCCGAGAAATGTCCGGTTCCCGTGGGATACGTAACTTGTTGTAATTCATATAGTTTGTATGTTTTCTAATACCACGCGGACGAAGTTGCGGGCAACAGCTCGTTATTCATATTTGTATAAAAATATAATGTTCACTCTTAAATTAGCAAATGTAGCCAATTTCATTCATTCATTCAATACATTCAACAAATAGAATTGAATTAATGGTAAATTCAAACTCAAATTTTTGAAAGGGCTATTAAACATTTGGTCCTTGCGAATTCGTTCATTCGTAACAATCTTTCTGGTTTTATGAATAATTTAACAACACTACAAGCTTTATTAGCAATTTCAATCTGTAAGCTTCAAATATGGCATCAAATTAAACGTATTAAGTGCAACTAAGCAACACGACAGAACAATGCGTTTCATTAAATTAACCACCGCCATTACTCTTGCGTGTCTACGGAAGCATATCCTTTACATAGCTGAGATCAACGGGAGAGGTTTCTCCAATTATGTCGTGACCAGCTGGAACGGGAGATTACCTTCGTGCGTAACTGGCTTTATCTCCACTCACATTTGTCCGTCGTTTTAAATCGCACAGAATTTTTATAATGTTATTAATTCTTTACAAATTTCACGCACATAGATTAACAACTTTTTAAGTACTTACGTGTATAACAATAAAGTATAAAAATAATAAGCAGTATTACGGATTTTCATTTAGCGCGATCCTTAGATTCCTTTCTCTTTCATATTCAGACATCTACACACACGTGTATTGGTTGGATATTACATTCTTGTCAATAGTGCTTCCAAAAATAAGCAAAACAAAGACAGACGTCGACTTACATAGTAATAGTTGATAACAATGCCATAAACGAGTTAGAGACAGCGCATATTGCACGTCGCAGGGCTCGTTTCAAGAAGTTGGGTAAAAGAAAACGGTCCATTACTCCACTACGTGCTGCCCCGCCGACATCTTAAAACAAAATAAAGCCACCCAATCGCCCCACGTGCGTGCTAGAGCAAGTAAACGCTAAAAATGCCACTAAAGCGGCCGGAATATTAACTACGAGAGACTTTGCGATCCAACCTTGGCTTACCTTGCCTGCTTGCTTATTCTTTTTTCGCAGCAACAATATACACATGAGGTAAATATCTACTTCGCCAGAATTTTAATATCTAGTTATATTCATGGTGTATAATAAATAAAACTGTCTAAGGATAACTTTAATCTTACGTAAAAACTATTTAGTTATGAAAACTGAAGACGGTTGAATCTTATTTTTGTAAAACTTATGCTTATATTTCTAATGGATTTTATTGAACAGTTGCTTGCGAGTGTAAGCAAAACGATGACTGTACAGTTCCACTGACAGTTTAAATTTTGTCTACACGCAAAGTCAGTCAGAACCGAACGACTGTAGCGGAATTTAGTGCGCAATATGTAATGTTTTCATATTGAAGTTGCATTACAGATCGACGGAATATTACACATATGTTGTTAACGACTTCCGATCGATCTTTAAAACAGAGAACCAATAAATAACAAAGGCATAATGCAACCATTTAAGCTGGTTATCCGTACACAAACATTTCCTGCCGTTCACAAGAGCATGAATTTCCTGCTTTCCAAAGTATCCTCTTATCGGCCCCTCCAGTGTGCACACTGCATAAATCACTTGCAGGCTCGCCGATACGTAGCGCTTGCAGCGACCTCTGATATTGCTCTACCTAAACCACGCCCGATAATTGGCACACACTCGGCCAAAAGCACTTAGATGTTTTGATCCTTTTTCCCTGTAGGTACATTTTTAATATCTTTCTATTCTTGAAATCTGTTTAATATGTATGTTAAAAGTACCTACTTTTTATACCAAGTACGAGTTAATATAACTTGTATCCAGAATTGATATTTTTCAGATGATGATAGCTATGTGCCATATAGTTTTTTTTTCCTTTTACCTCCTTGTTGATAATTCTTAAATGAATGAATGTGAGATCAACATAGATGTGATACTTACATTATATCTGAAATAAGTAAAGGCCTTAAGTAACCTGTACACACGTAGAACATAGTAAGATAAAGTAATGTATCGAAATGGAGAATGCAAACAGTGAAGCAGTTCGGATTAACTTGAGAGCCTTTATGGATGTTGTTCAATATTAAATTTTGTAAATAACATGTAACTCACGACCGTAACCTGAAGGGAAATGGCTGGGATTATACATCAATGCAAGCATACTAATAGTATGCCAACTTTTTTTTTATAATATGAGGTGTCAAACTAGCAAGCGACCACCTGAATCGACCGAAATGGAAAGCGACCACTGTCCATAGACATCCGCAATTGCAGATGCGTTGCCTACCCTTAATTGACGGAAGAGACGCACATAAAGAGGACATTTCCTCTTCCTATGCGTCTCCTCCACCATTAAATTCACTTTTCCTTATCATCTTTTCGTCTTAAGAAAAGGGAAAGGGACTAAAATTAGGCCTCCGGCACCACACTCATCAGACGATATGCGGAACTGCTTCCACTTCACGCCTGTTTTCTGTGTGGTCGTGGTGTTACACCGGGCGAGCAGACCCATTCGTGCGAAGATGTTAAAGCGGACTCTACCACTTATAAATGTGGTCAGATTTGTAAGGACGATCATTCTGTTGAAGGCCAGGGAAGGCCTATATGCAATAGTAGGTAGATAAAGGTTGGTGATGATTTGTCTCTATTTAGATAAAACAAATCAATTTATTAACAAGCTAGTGAGTGGCAAGATAAGTGTCAGCACACAGAAGCCATTATCACTATTGAGACGGCGCGGCGTGCGCTCAACACTGGATAATTAATTGCACGTCTCGACCCACCGGCCGGGCAGGCTTACATGGAACACTAATAATAAACATGGACAATAGTGTATTTTCTTTTTATGAACATCGGTTTAACGAATGCTGAATTCTATGTTAACAGATACCACATGCCTACGCATTAATATACATAACACATTTTTATATGCAATACATTTAGAGCGTGCGAACACCGGAAACAAAACTATCGCAGAACTGTTTAGTCACGCTTTGATTACTATGAGCTTTTATGGAGGTGTGTAAACTACTCGATATTTAGTTATGCAACTAAACAGTTTAATTGTCGAAATAATCGATAATCACACAATAGTTGTAAGATAGTTTGGTCTATGTGTTCGCCCGCTCTTATAGACGTTTCAAATTTTTTGTTAAAACAAATGCAATCAACTATTACTAACGTTTTATTTTAAGCTTTAAATTTAGCTAAAATGTATGTCTAAATATTTTAAAACTATACCGTATTAAAGACATTTTCTACATATACTTGTGTATTTTCGTAGCTCCTTGTGTCATTGTAGCCGCGCTCCAACGTTGTCGGGAACTAAGCTATCTTGATTTACAATGCTCTTGCATCCTCCTTTGTAACAATACTATACGTTCACACTAAGAAATTAACTTGATTAAATAATGTGTATACAAAATAATATCACTATAGCTTAAGATTATTATGCATTTCACTACTAAAGAAGACAAAAAAATATACTGATTCTATAGTTTTTTGCTGGTAAATATTTATCAAGCTTAGAGTAGAATTTTATGTATGTATTTCAATTCGTAGAGCGTCGGTGGCCCAGTGGTCTGAACACTTGACTTGTAATCTACAGGTCTTGGGTTCGAATCCCTTCATGTACCAATTTGATTTTCGATTTTTCGAATTTTTATATGTACATAATTTACCCGACGTTCTTACGGTGTAGGAAAACATCGTGATGCAACCTGCAAATACGGTGAAGAAATTCAAAGATATGTGTGAAGTCGACCAACCCGCACTTGGCCAGTCACCCCGTATTAGGGTAGGCTCCGAGCCCCTCGGTGGGAACGTATAGTGAGCTGGTGATGATGATGATTTCAATTCAATAAGTATTTAAATAAACCTAATAAGGACGCAAATTACAATTAGATTAAAGTTCTTCGTTAGAAAAGTTGTTCCAATCTTGCATCGGTCAGATATTAAAAAAAATGTTCAATTGTGAATCCAATCGCAATCCACAAGTTGTCAAATGCACATCTGTAAATAATCGGTAAGAAGTAAATGGGACGCTCACAAACCTTCCTCATTAAGTCGAAGACAATCCGCGTAAAGTTGCGAGAAATCGCTAGCTAACAATAAAACGCAATCTTTCGACGACATTGTTATTTTCAATAAGCTCTTATACCGGGATAATGAAAAAAGTTTTTATTACCGCAATACCGGCTCCCAGTTCGGCTTGTTTTCGAAAAAACTTCACGCAATAAGTGGCAACACAATATTTTTTTGTTCAATTTTCAACTTGTCTAACATTACGACCCCTGTTTTTTCGCTACTTAATAAATGATACTTTAAGATTATCCGACTGAGTTTTCTTTTACAAAAAGACTTACGGTCTTATAATTAATTATTTATGTTTTGGGCTATATCTCTAACTAATCTCTGAAAATAATATCGTTCTTTAATTTCAAGATCAAGGCAATCTGAATTATCTTCAAACGTATACTATAGTAGGTACTTAAATTACTTGTTTACATTTTTAATTCAAAGTTCTTTGTGAATAAAATCAAAAAATTCCTCTCACGTTCCAGCATTACGTATCGACCTGTAATTATGTTCGTGTAATTATCCACCTGAGCTTGCTTGCCGAAGCGTGACACTACTTTAAAGGGTCGATTATTCGTTTTAGATCTTACTTCTTAAAAAAGGCACTTACGAAATGTCCGTTTAAACGCACTGGTCACTGTGAAATAAAAGAAAAGCTACGTGATTTCAGAAAAAAACAAAAAAAAAATCACATGTAACTGGTCGATTTTCATTTGTTTCTACATTCGAGTTTGACCTTCTCAATACGACTTTGAGGCTTGGATTTGGTTCTATCATTTGGTATGGTATTAACATGGAATGGACAATGTTTTAGAATAAAAAAAATAATATTTTTTCAATATTTATTACAAATACTCGTATTTAAACAATGGCATTAACGTTATAAAAACTACAAAGCGATATAATCCTTTGTTGAAAATTACTACGTATTTTAAATTAGATAATAAAATCAACTCCTATAAATGATTGCGAAGGTTTACTAAAATAAAAAACATTACAATTACAGGAATCTATTGAGATGTGGCATCATTTTTGACACGTAATGCCACTATTCAAAGTCTTGGAAAGCCTTTACTATTACTATACACACTAATCTACAGTGATAAGTCCACATTCCCGCACGACCTGCTCCGTCGATACGGGGTTCAGGAACACTGGAAGAAAGACAAAGCGGATTTAAAGATCATTCAGTTGGCATAAACAGATTGTTATGGATCACACAATTACATGATTTGATAATGTATTATGCATAAACAAAGAGATTCAAAAAATATATAGAGGAAATAGAGTTGACACTTCACTTGAGACACTTTTCACATGACCCACTAACGCTATTAACAAATCCACAAAACCACATGCCAATATAATTAATTGTATTAAATGAATTGCTAATAGGTGTCATTAAATCATAAAAAATGCAGCTTATATTATAATTTTGTAAAATGTCTTATAACATATCAATACAAGGACATGAGGTGGCACTAAACTTAACTGATATAGTACTTTTCAAAAAAGTTACCGGCGAATAAATGTTAATTACTATGTCTAGTCTCTATATTTCTTAAATATCTGTGCATAAACCTCACGCTATTGGCTTCCTCAGAGACATTTAATAGGCACAATAGTATCAGCACTAAGTAACCATTACTATGAGCAGCAGCTAGATCTTTAGAGTGACTAAAGAGTCCCCTAGGAAGCTTTGCAGTAGCCTACGATGTTATCGGAGCACAGATCAGTTTGTAACGCTTGGACGAACTCACTTCAAGAGACCTTTGAGCGGTTCTCAACTGGGACTAACATTGGACTATCGGTATCCTAATTAGCATTTACATGAATATTGCAATAATATAAAACCAATCTTGCTATCTTACTTCTTACATATATTATAAAAGCGAAAGTTGTGATGAATGTGTGGATAGACGTTTGTAAAATATATATCCAGAACGGTTTAAGTGATATCAACGAAATTTGGCACAGATTTAGGACAAAGTTAGTTTGCCATAAACGATATTTTTGTAAATCAAGATTATTGTTTTAGTTATTTTGTACGAAATGCGAGAACTCACTTGTACTACCGGTGAATAGATCGTGTTCGGGAATGATGCTGGCGGCGGCGATCGCAGCCTCGTCTAGAACTATAACCTGTAATAGAAATATGTTTTTATAGACTCTATTGAAAATTACGCACGATGTTATAGTTAACTAGGTGTTCGCGACTTTGTACGCGTGGAAATAACAATAAAAATATAACCAGTGTTACTCAAAGATGAATTACCTATCTAACGATGAAAGAATTTTTCAAGTCGGAACAGTAGTTTTTGAGTTATTTCAATAAATACTAAAACACAATTCTTTCCTTTTTATGACATTACAGACTTTTTATGATATTCTGTTTTTTTTTTTATAACATAAAGTGGCAAACGAGCAAGCGGCCACCTGAATCCGCCAAAATGGCGAAGCGACCGCTGTCCATAGACATCCGCAATTGCAGATGCGTTGGCTACCCTTATTTAACAGAGGAGAAGACGCACATACAGAGGAAATGTAAAAACTAAGCGGTTATCAGCAGTTTCGTTTTTACAGTTTGGGTGTACTTAATATTTGGTATAAACGTGTAAATTCGGTTAAACAAAAACAGCTTACCTCATTAAATCTCTTACCTTAGGACATTCTAGGATATGTACTTCATGAACGACTTCAGTATTCTTATCAGCGTCGTTATGTCTTAAAGGCAGCAGGTCGATGGCGTTTGCTGCGAGCGACCACAGGTGGCCGGCGCCCTGCGGTGCGCGCGCCCCCTTGCGGAAGTACGGGTTGATGGACAAATTGTGCCGTACTGAGTTCTTCCAGCGGTCATCATTCGCTTTGTAGTAGGGGAAGTGATCACTGAAAGATGAAATTAAAAAGTTAAAAAAAATCATAGCTTAATTACTTCTTATGAGTCTAGTAGCTGCAACATAAACTGGCCAAAACATTTAAAACCGGATGTTTTGGCAATTGCATTAGGGGTCGTTGATACTGGGGCGGCCCCGTGTAAACGGTACCAGGAGCCGCCTACCACGCCTGACGTGATGACAACACGACACGCGCTGACGTGACGCGAGCGTGACGAAAGCATTAATATTCCCTTTATGATACACACGTTTAGCTCCCGACTAATCACACGTAACGCCCACGATCTGCCAAGTCGCGACCCAGCATTAGAACGTGGGCGTTGGTTGTAGGTAAACTTGTTATAGAAACCTGTCATTTATGTCTACTACTAGCTGTTGCTTGCGACTTCGTCCATAATAAAAACATAGTAAAAATGAATGTTACTCAGTGATAACATAGCTTTTTAATGGTGCAAAAATGAAATCGGTTTAGTACTTTTTAAGTTATTTCAATACATACAATAGATAAAACGCATCTGCATTGTCTACCCTTAATTGCAGATGCAATTGCGGATGTTTATGGGCAGCGGTCGCTTTCCCTTTCGGTGAATTCAGGTGGCCGCTTGCTCGTTTGCCACCTTATATAAAAGGTACATCAATCTGCAGTGAGTAGCCGTCATCGACACGGTGATAATAATTTAATAACAACCCTCGTACAGCCGCCGTGTTGACACATTGATAACATCAACACGCCGTTTCCAAGCTCGACCAAAGCTTGATATCATTTATCACCGTAATAAACTGATTACACTTGTAATCACCACACAGATAAGTGTTATGGGAATTTTAGTGGTTAATAAATTTCCGCTTCTTCTTTGTCTTCTTAAACTTACAATATTAAAACTAACTCTAAAGATCACATTCTATTAATTAATCTAATTAGAATAGAGATATAATAAAGAAAGATTAGTATTTTTGTACGTATTTAAATATCTCAAAAACTACTGGGACGATTTCGAAAATTCTTTCACTTTTAGAAAGGTAATTTATCTGTGAGTAACACACGCTACGTTTTTAATATTTATTAAATCACGCGGACGAAGTGGCGAGCAACAGCTAGTATTTGATAAATTAGCCAGATGACAAAACACGTGGCCGAAGTGTAGTTGCGTTCAACAAAGCACCTATTCTTTAACAAACTTCTAAAAATCACTTCGTTAACAGAACGTGAATAATTGCGGCTTATTCATTACATCTATATATGAGAATCACAAACAGTATAACAACAATCACCACCATATGGCAGTAATAATGCGCTTGTGAAAAGATAAACGGCCTCCAACACAAGAGGCACCCCTAATTTAGCTCGGCGATGCCGCGCGCCGTAAACAATAGTTAGCGCACGGAACAAAGAACTCTGCCGACCTACAAATGACACCGCGTTAATATGATTTCGATTCTCTTTTGTTGTCGAGTTAATTTGATGCTTGTTCTGATTTTGCTCATTCTTTGTAGAGCGTTGCAAAGAGCTTCTGGTATAATAACATTTGTTGCGTATTTACTTTTATTTATTTACAACTAGCTTTCGCCCGCGACTCCGTCTGCATAAAATTAAATAGCCTATGTGTAATTATGACTACTTTCTACATCTACGTCAAATTTCATCAAGATTTGTGAAGCAGTATACGCTTCACTCTAACATCCATTTATCTAAACTTTCGCATTTATAACATAGGTAAGATCAGTTATTAATCTTATATTTCTCCTAACTTATACACCATGTTGGTAATAAATCTTTACTAATAATTGATACATTCTTGAAAATACAGGATAAAAAATGTGACAACAAGCACCATACTAAAAAAAATATATTAGCTGGGATGTCTCGTTAGCTTGGTAATAGAGCAACCAGCCGCTATAATACGGGCTAATTCCAAACCAAAAAATAAGTTTTCCATTATAACTGCCGGTATGTTACGCGTCGAGTTCCAATACGTTGCATTTAACTAATCCATGTGGTTTAAATACTGAAAGCCATATTGATTTATAAACCAACTAGATTAATAAAATTGTCTTCAGATCAACGCGAAATGAAAATTTATTGAGATTACTTTCTTATTTTGACATTACGGTGACATTTGATTTTAAATGTTTTTTACGCGTTTAGGAAATACAAGCTGTTGCCCGCGACTTCGCCCGCGTGGCATTAGAAAACATACGAACTATATAAATTACAAAAAGCTACGTATCCCTCGGGAACCGGACACTTATCGGGGATGAAGCTTATCTCATGTGTACTCCAGACTTTGTTTTATATCTGTGCCAAATTTCAATAAGATATGTTGAACCGTTGCAGAATGATCGAGTAAACATTAAAAAACTAAATTAATGAATCCCACGGGAACCGTAACTATTCCCGGGATAAAAAGTAGCCTATGTGTTCTTCCAGACTATGCTTTAAACCTATACCAAATTTCATGGAGATCCGTTTAGGCTACAAACGCTAACAAACATCCATCTATCCATCCATCCATCCATCTAAACTTTCGCATTTATAGTATTAGTTTATAATATTAGTAAGATTAGTAAATAAAAGCTATTTCCAATCTAGCTATCAACAATAAGTTCATAGCTGTAACACAGTTTTACAGCAAATTACGTCATTCAGTATCCACTACAGATTTTGATTTAATTTGACATTACGTCACATAACCTTACAATTTGCTAATTCGTACATTTCCGAACAAAATTAACAGTTTTTAACTAATTTCAATATTTATATATTATCGCCAGAGTATTAAAATTTAAAAACTCTAAATTAAAATACAAAATAGATATGTCTAAAACTTACGAGATCCATTGGTAAATAGCCGATACCGTCAATTCTCCCTTTTCTCTCAAAGCCTTTTCGATCAGCTCCGGGTAAGTAAATGGTGGCTTCCTTACAGCGGGCGGAGTATCCGTCACCTCGATCTTCGGCTCCGGCACGAAGTCGTCATCCGGAACTTTTACCTTAACTATTTCATCTAATCTAAAATTCAACAGCCACGCCAGGCTTACGCAGTCATTGTCTACAACTGGTGATTTCGTGCATTTCCTTCTTCGCCATTTTGATTTATCATTTTGCTTCGCAGACATTTCTGAGTGAACGTTGGGACAGCACTGAGTTTGCTTTTTCGTAGCGACCGCGGTGTGCCAGCCAGCGCTATCTCCGACCGCCGCGGAGTTCGCCATGCATATAGGACCTCCATGGTGTTTGTATCAAAACAATAAAATATTGATCCACTTTGATGATAAGCTTACTTTTTAAAAGTGTTTTTTTTAAATTAATAATTTATAAAGTAATTTAAAGTAATGGTCTGTTTAAAATGTTAATATTAATTGATTATTAAACAAGAAATTATTTATGTTAGCGTTATATGATATAGGAAAACGCTTACCATAAAATGCAATGCAAATTGTGTTAAAAAAATCCCCCAAATCTTGTAATTATATTTCTTTCCTTCTATCTTATCTTTTTTTTTAATTTCAAATTTATGATTTAGTAATTTTCCTGTTGGGAATAACAAAAATACATTATGACAATAACTTTTCTCTTATTTCTCCGTTAATCAAATATTAAGCTCCATCTTACGTCATAACGAGTAAATTAATTTCATTTAACTGTAATATAAAATTATGACTTTAATTCAATAAACAACGAGCTGCCAATTTTTCTCTATTAAGTAAAATGAAATCATTATTTGAAATTATACCGAGGACAAAATAAATGCGATATTATTCACAATTTGAAATTAATGTAAATAAATGATGTTATATTTTAATGGTTTAAGTATATTTACTAGTGACTCAAAGTCAAACGTTCCTATCCAATTATTTTCAAGTGAACTGCGTTTATATCTGTTTTATAAAACAAACAATTTTGGAAGTGAATTTGTGTACAGCGTAACGGTTTGTTTGTAACAAACCTGCAGATCGAACTCGAGTCCAATTTCAAGTCGATTACAAATCGAGAACAGAATCAATGCAAAGCAATTTATTTCTAAAAGCTTTTCCATTAAACCAATCGAGTTACATCGAGCTCCTTTTATGCAGGCATTTAACGATACCTAGAACATTCTATCAAGTTTTTAAATAATAATTTCTGTATTACAATAATTTTACTAGTCGACGTCAATGATAATAGATTACCTTGGAATGTGTCGTTTTGGTTTTAGAGAAGACCACGAATTAAACACACCTTAATCCCTGTCCTTAAATTCCATACTCAGTAACATTACAGGAAACATACTTTAAAATGTCCTGTCTGTACTTAAGTAAGTCAATGTTTCACAGTGACTAACTATAAAGTTATTTACGGAGAGTTAATTCAATCACAATGACACAGCGATCCCCGAGATCGATAGTGTTTAGTTTCCATAAAGTTTGGTTTGGTAAGCCGCTGGGTAAGCTATCATTCGATGTCAACCGATGAATTTCAAGTCTTTGAAACGGAACGTTAAAATTCCCCTCACAGAACCATCTCCGTAGGAAGCATCAAAGCGCTGAGTGCGGACGTAATTCAATAAACCGAAAGCACTTCTCAGGGATTCATATTTTATTCAGCGCTGCATTCGCCTCTGTCCACGTGCTGACGTAATTTTATTTTATTATAGATTACATTTAAAAAGTCACAGCGCAGATATTTCCTACCAAAGCGTGATAATTGCTTTGCGATAGACCTTTACATTACATTCTGATTATGTATGATTTACTAAATGGAGATTTATTTAACCTATAAAATAATGTGACATGATCAAAAAGAGAGTGATGACGGAGATGACGTATGATAGAGTTATGTGGAGGACAAAAACCTGTTGCGCCGACCCTACGAGAGTAGGATAAGGAGAAAAATGATCATGATGAATTAACCAGGTGCATTACTGGATTTCTAGACAATTAAATTTGTCCCATTTGTATGTAGATACATCACTAGTAATTACGTTTCCTCGTCAGATTTTCTGATAGAACCTACATTATTCGAGTTCACATGTTTATAAACATGAATGACTATAATATAATAGTTATAAAAGTTCAGATTAGGGAATTACAAGTTCAGTCGGTACTATTCCGGTGTAAGTGATCGGTTGAATAAATTCGATTTGCGATAGTCTGCAATTTTGCCATTGATAAATGCAAATGTGTATGAAGCTAGGACTAATTAAGCGATTTACTTTGTATGAAACGATTTAGCGGCTTCATTTAAGTATTATGACGCTTACAATTCTCATTATAAAATAAACACATATTTGTCATTTAATGAGTCTGTGTGAAACCACAATATTGCAAATAATAAATTTTTGATTTGAAATTAAATTGAATCGAGGAAATGAACTATTGAAAAAATGTGTCCCACCAACAAATTTAAATCAATATATACGTAAAATATTTTTTCATCGATATCTATAATTACTTGAGAATATAATCGTACGTGGAACGTCATCAAGTTTGTATGTCAACCTGTGATGTAATCTGACATGTTCAATTATTTTAATTGATCGCCCAATAATGTATTCCACAAATGCATTTCAAAGCGGACATTATACTGTGACAGGAGAATGTAATTTGTAATACGCTTAGAATGTTACATTTCAGTTTAAACCGCCGTGTTTTCCCTACTACAACAGTCGTGGAAACTGGCAACCTTAGAAGTTACAATCGTTTAAACATTTTGAAACGAGACGCGGAATAAAAACCAATACAACGCAGCTTATAAATGTACTTGTACGAAAAAAAGTCGGTTACTGATACATAGCTAGCTTCTTTTTATTATTATTCCTTCGTTTGTACTTTGCTATATAATTAGAAGCGGAGTTTGGCTCGTTGCAACGAACAAGACAACTTCTCCTATAGCAGAACAACGCGGATTTCCGCGACTATATACAATGTTATACGCTTCATCAGTCAAAACGATTACTAGACAATTGTATATCTGTATTCAATTGTTTTCTCCGCTGTCTTGAAGGTCATCCAACAGGTTCTTAACTCGACACTGATACGTCGAAACACAAACCTATGCAAATGCATTTGCATAACATAAATTATTTTCTTCGTTAATAACACGATGTTACTGTATAATATAGATGGTTGGCCGCTACTCAGCGCCACCTATGAGCTATTAATAACACTAAATCGTATATTAAGCTCGTAAATTCTCGCAGTCACTTTAATATTGTAGTATTAATTAGTGGGCGCACCGCGGCCGACAGCAATTGTTGTTCACCTGACAAACGACCGCCGCAACAGCTTTTATAATTGCAATTAATTTCTAAATTAATATACGGCGCAGGTATCACAGATATATTACACTGCATCTTAGGAAATACAGCTCAATGAAGAAGTATTTCACATTTCGTTACATGAGTGAGATAGGAGATATACTTAAGAAGGGAACGGAAAGAGACGTATTGTAAATGGTGAATCGTTTTACAGCTTATCTCTAATCCACTTACTAACTCTTTTTGTATTTTTTTTTATAATATAAGGTGGCAAACGAGCAAGCGGCCACCTGTATCCACCGAAGTGGAAAGCGACCGCTGCCCATAAACATCCGCAATTGCAGATGCGTTGCCTATTCTTCATTGACGGAGGAGGAGACGCACCTAAGAGAACATTTCCCATTCATATGCATCTCCTCTACCGTGAAATCCACTTTTCCTTTCCATCCTTTCCTCTTAAGAAAAGAGTGGAAAGAAAAAAGGACTAAAATCAGGCCTCCAGCACCACACTCATCAGACGAAACGCGGAATTAACTTCCACTTCACGCCTGTTTTCTGTGTGGTCGTGGTATTACACCGGGCGAGCCGGCCCATTCGTGCGAAGATGTTAAAGCGGGCTCTATCTACCACTGTTAATGTTAATGTTGTATGTATTGACATAACTCAAAAACTACTAGGCCGATTTAAAAAAAAATAACCATTAAAAAGCTACGTTATCAAGAAGGAACATAGGCTATATCTTTTACTATTTTTTAGTTTCACGCGGTAGTCGCGAGTAATAGCTAGTTTTAATTACAGGTATTTCAAGAGTGTTGAATACTTTGTCTAAAGTATTCAAAATTTTATTAATATTTAGTAAATAAAATTAAGTCTACGACAAAAATTAATAAAAGCTTCCTTATCCAACAACATGATGAATTTATCGCTGCATTTAGTAAACAACGTAGAAGGGGCCTTTGTTACTGAATCTCAAAACGTTTAGTTATTAAATCACAGCTGTTTGTAGCATTTTGATAAATATCCCGGACAAGTACGCGCAGGCTGGAAAATTAAAGTTTCGTTGTTAATACTTAAAAAAATTATCATAGTTATAGTTTTTTTTTATAACATAAGGTGGCAAACGAGCAAGCGGCCACCTGAATCCACTGAATTGGAAAGCGACCGCTGCCCATAAACATCTGCAATTGCAGATGCGTTGCTAACCCTTCATTGACGGAGGAGGAGACGCACATAAAGAGGATATTTCCCCTTTCAATGGGTTTCCTCCACTTTTGCTTTCCATCCTTTCCTCTTAAGAAAAGGATAGATAGGGAAAGGGACTAAAATTAGGCCTCTATCACCACACTCATCAGACGAAACGCGGAATTGTTTCCACTTCACGCCTGTTTTCTGTGTGGTCGTGGTATTCCACCGGGCGAGCCGGCCAATTCGTGCGAAGATGTTAAGGCGGGCTCTACCACTGTTAAGGTTTACATCTAAAATGCTAAATAATAATTTTTGAACTAACAAATGTAATAGGTAAAGAAACTTTGATAATAATAATTGTAGTTTGCTGTACATTTGATGTTATAAATGACCGAAGTTTACTCTCGTATAACTAAGAATTGCGGCCTCGGAAAGTTAAAATTTTACCGCAAACAAAACATTAAAGTTTCACAGGGGGTATTCTGAAAACCATAACCGAGTTTTAGTTCTAAAGTCAATAAATAATAAATGTTGTGAAATAAGGTCATTCGAACATACGGCGATATTAAAACCATAACGAAATTTTAGAAAAAAAATGTTTTGGATAAAACCAAATATCCATCGCCAGCTTTCTACTTGACATTGCAGAAAAATAAGCAACTAAATTCTTTGCTTATAATTTAAGATAAGCGCCATCTGCGATCGGCTACTTCACGCCAATTGAATCTGTAAATGCCTCTTTAACGCTAACAGTAACAAATCTGTCACAAAAAATGCTTGCACTAGTAAATGCAATAAAGACGATTAAATTGGAAAAGCCAGGATGTTTATATTCTTAAACTATACTAATTACTAACTTAAACTCTTTTATTTGAAATATAGATAAAAATAGAGCACTATATTTGAAGTTACTTTAACTTTTCCTGAAGCCTTATCAAAATGCTGTTAAAGTGTATCGTATATTTTTTGGGTTTTGCATAAGTTTTTCTTAGCTCGAGATAAAATACACTTTACCTGAGTGAGGTTAGACATGTTTAAGTACTTTCCCGCGGTCGGCTTTTGTGGAGCCAGATAGCGGTATTAAAATTCATGTGGAAGAAATTTCACCTCGTAAATTAAGATTTAATTTTTTTAGTTGTACAATTTACAATGCAAATAATTCTTAAACAAGAAATAATTGTAAAGTACATTAAATACACAGTTTTAATAAGTAATTTTAGTTATTAAACTAGCTTTTAGAGCGTCGATGGCTCAGTGGTTTAAGCACTTGACTTGTAATCTACAGGTCTTGGGTTAAAATCCCGCCGTACCAATATGATTTTCGAATTTTGGAATTTTCATATGTACATAATTTACCCGACGTTCTTACGGTGAAGTTTTCCTTCGTGAGGTAACCTGCACACATCGGCGAAGAAATTCAAAGATATGTGTGAAGTCGACCAACCCGCATTGGGCCAGCGAGGTTGACTATGGCCTAATCACCCTATTTTTGGGTATACTCCGAGCCCCTCGGTGGGGACATATAGTGAGCTGGTGATGATGAAACTAGCTTTTTACCGCGGCTCCGTCCGCAAAAACCAAAATTACTTAAGGTTAAAAAAGGTTACTACCTTTATTTTATTCCAGACTGTTCTATATCTATGCAAAATTTTATCCAATTCCGTTTGGTCGTTTAGGCTATACACACTAACAATTCATCCATCCATCTAAACTTTCGTATTTATAATATTACTCGTAGTGTGCGTTGCAATTAACGTCTTAAAGTAATAAATTATGCAAAAGTGACGAGGGCAGACTGTTAATAATATTCAAGTTTCAATTTATAAAAATAAAATTTCCTTCTTACTTAACTTTTCAAGTAATTAATTTCTCGAGTGGCCCCGAACTCTTGCAGAGCAAGTTTTAAGCAAGAGGTGTTCAGGTGCAAACAAAGGAGAGTTACGTCGAACTGCCAGCCATTACTAGGGATTCTAAGGCTTTATTGTCCTTGGAAAAATTAATAACAGACTTCGACTTTTGTTTTCTTTTATAAGGCTCTTTGATTTATTAATATCATTTTTTTAAGGAAAGTAATTTAAGTAGAGTTCGTTTTAAGTTCAAAATTATTTGTAGGATATAGAATTTTGCCGTGACTCCATCAGCATCTAATTAAAAAATTATAACTCAATGTGTTCTTTCAAACTGTTTTTTTTTTTTTTATAACATAAAGTGGCAAACGAGCAAGCGGCCACCTGGATCCGCCAAAATGGCGAAGCAACCGCTGCCCATAGACATCCGCAATTGCAGATGCGTTGCCTACCCTTATCCGACAGAGGAGACGCACATAAAGTGGATATTTCCCCTTCCTATGCGTCTCCTCCACCGTCAAATCCACTTCCTCTTCCCATTCTCTTCTTAAAAGAAAAGGGTGGTAAAGAGAAAGGGACTAAAATTAGGCCTCCGGCACCACACTCATCAGACGAAACACGGAATTAGTTCCATTTCACGCCTGTTTTCTGTGTGGTCGTGGTATTACACCGGGCGTGCCGGCCTATTCGTGCTAAGATGTTAAAGCGGGCACTACCACTGTTAGAACTGTAATAAACATACATTTTATTTTGTTAAGGGTCCGTCCCACCAAAGTGTAAATTGTCTGATAACAATCATCATCATCCTCAACTTGCCCTTATCCCTTATGGAGGGTCGGCACAGTATGTGCTGCTCTTCCATACATCTCTATCAGCCGTCATATCTGAACCCACTTCTTTCACACAATCCATCAATACTTTCTTCGGTCTTCCTCTTCCTTTGTAGCCATCCACATTCTTAACACTTTCTGGTTTATGTCCCCATCTGACAATAATCCAACGTGTAAAATATGTGATGGAAATATCTGATTTTGTTATCTTATCTGACAGTGACGTCATTTTTAAGCTACCTCAGCCTCTTATCAGCCAGTGGTGGGACAAGTCCTAAGACTATATACACGAAAGATTAGATGGATGGATGTTTGTTATAGTTTGCCGCCTAAACCGCTGAAGGGATCGCAATGAAAATTGGCATAGAAGTAAAGTCTGGAAGAGGACATTTTCTATTTATGTTTGTTTTTTTTTTATTCCACATTGACGAAGTCTTTCATTAAAATCAATTATTGATTGAGCGGTTCTGGAGATAAGTAAAACAAATATCCATCCATCTTAACTTTTATTTCAATACTAGCTTTCACCCGCGACTCCGTCCGCGTAGAATTAAAACAAAAACAAAAGTGAGTAGCCTATGTGGTCTTCCAGGCTATTCTCTAAGTCTATACCAAATTTCATCGAAATCCGTTCAGCCGTTTAGACTACAAACTCTAACAAACATCCATCCATCCATCTAAACTTTCGCATTTATTATATTAGTATGAAGTATGTATGAATGTTGAATGAAGTATGAAGTTTGATATGATTTTTCTAGTAAAATTCAACATACAAGCAACATCAGTGTAATAACATTGAAATAAAACACGTTATTCCGATCAAAAAATTTATGATTGTTGAAAAATGTTTATTTGGTGCAGGAATGAATTCCTCAATAAATTACGTGAAGCGATTTCCAATGCAATCATTTTTCGCAAGAGTTTCAATTAAATCGGTGTTACGAGCAGCGTGCTCGTGTTCGGTGCGTAAACGATTTCATTTTTGCGTTATTTTAAAAATTTCCGGCTATAAACCTTTATGCATTAATCGAATACGAAACAATTTACATTCGGATATTATATCTTATTAATAAGTTACATTTTATCGATTATAACTCACCTAATGTGGACATGTGTATTTTAAATAATAAATATTCGTACTTATATTATTTACACATGTTACATTTTTTAAGTTGAATCTATACTATTATAATAAAGCGTAAACACATACTTCTTTGTTGCCTAAGATGTCAGCAATTACAGCATATTTTTGAATAATTCTCTTTTCAAAAAAAAAATATAGTTATGTCACGCTTTAGGATATATATTTTCACGCTATTAAACTTAGTGGGTAAATAAATTTAATATAAATACTGTAATAATGAGGGAACGAGACCATAAGTTACTGCCAACATTAAGGAAACAAGATTGCCATGGATTGTCATCATGTCACGTCATTTTGACATTTGCATAATTCCCTGCGTATGAAGTCGCATGGGAACAGCTAGTAAACTATAAAAATGACATTATTGTTGATGTTTTGTAACCAAGTTTTTGTACTATATTATACCTTAAGTTAGTCTGTAGTGTTTTTCAATACCGCTCAAGTGCTCTCTCTTAAAAGCAGTATCATTCGCGGACTTAAAGGATTTTCTCACGGTAAATGGGTCTTGGCCATTTTGTGGACTTTGCATGTGTTTATCTTAGGCACGGATAAACGCCAAACTTGAGTGAGGGTCGACATTGTTAAACATTTTTGGGTATTTCATGTCATGGTTAAAAGCAGTTAATGCTGATGTCAATAAAGCATTATTAATAACATCTGTGAATAGTGTAAAATAGATCTAATCTGAATCTACTAAAGGACAATTAGACTCTAACCATGCTGGCCCAATGTGTATTGCATTTGGACATAGTACATTAAAAATAAAAGTAAATTAAAGGTAGAAATAAACTCAAGTCTAATGTTTTGTTTGCTCTAGGCTAGTAACTTAGTCGGGTAATTTAGTAAATAGTATTACCAATGTTTAGGGCCTGTTCCACCACTAGCTGATAAAGGCTCAGATAGCTGAAAATAACATGACTGACAGATAAGGGAATAAAATTCGATATTTCCATCACAGATTTTAAACGTTAGATAGTTATTAGACAATTTACAATTTGGTGGGATAGGCCCTTTGTCGAGTAGATAAATAAATCATAGAAGGGAGAGTGTTTTAAATATTAAAATACTCTGTAGGTACTAGCGTTGTGTGAACTAAGAGTTACTTTAAACCTAAATGTAAATAAAACATTGATTGAATATGTTAGCGCTTGTAAATGTAGTTTCCTGTAAAGATTAGTTAATCCAGTTTCCGGAGGCACTTATCAAGACCGCAAGCTCTGTTTATGTTCGTTAACTTAATTAACTTGATAGAGATCTGAATACTCCTAGTGATACAATCTTAGGATATATTTTGTTTAAATTATTTTAAGATTTACTTTTCTTTAGATAGTTGCACCGCCGGTGCAAGACGAAGAGGTAAAAAATCTTTGGTAAGTAAATATTTAAATAACAATAGAGTTGAAACTAATGTTAATCTTACTTAATAATATAAATGCGAAAGTTTAGATGGATGGATGTTTGTTAGAGTTTGTAGACTAAACGGCTGAACGGATCACGATGAAATTTGGTATAGACTTGGACTCACTTTTATTTATTTTTTATATATCCACGCGGACGGAGTCACCGGCGAAAGCTAGTATTTCAAAAACAATAGAGTCGGTAGGTATGTCCATACCATCTGAGTTATTTTCAGACGTCAGATAGTATTTTTTTCAATATAAATTAATACATCCTAGATTAGTTAACAAACAAACTTAATTTTTTATTGCTTTATAATATACCAAAAATGATAATTAAAAACCAATTTAAAAGACCTTACCTACCTTCAAAAATACACATTAAATTACTACTCAGAGATGACAGTACTATCATGGTCTCACAAAGCGGATGCTGTTAACGTTCGTTAATACAATTAACTTGCTATTTGCAGTTTGCGATGGAACATAATCCCGCATAACGTAACAAACGACTTTAGATCTAAGCCATTGCTGAACAAAAGGTCTTAGTTATTCTAATAACATACATAATATCAGGGTTCTGATGAACGTTTGAACGACTACGAAAACAAGGACTTTTTACAGTCGCTTGATATTCTAACAAAAAACTTGTGATTAAACAACAATGTAAAACTGCGTCAATGCTTTTTCCTTTCTCATAGTTACCTTACATCAGTTCATTCTTTTTTGAATATAAACACAGTGGTAGAGCCCGCTTTAACATCTTCGCACGTGACATACCACAATCACACAGAAAAACAGGCGTGAAGTAGGAGAAATGCCGCGTTTCGTCTGATGAGTGTGATACCGGAAGCCCAACTTTAGTCCCTTTTCCTTCCCACCCTTTTTCTCATAAGAATAGGATGAAAAGGGAATGTGGATATGTCGGTAGAGAAGACGCACAGGGAGGGGAGATACCCTCCTTATGTGCGTCTCCTTCTCCGTCGATTAAGATAAGGCAACGCATCCGCCATTGCGAATGTCAATGGACAACGGTCGCTTCGCCATTTTGGCTGATTCAGGTGGTCCTTTTCTCGTGTACCATTTATGTTATTAAAAAAACCGTCTAAACGGTGAAATTATAAAATTAATAGGGGCTTTTGTTTAAATTATGTAGTAAAAATTTCTAATATAAACACAAGACAAGTTCGCGGAATCAAACCTTAAATCGACTGTAAATCTAAAACCTTGGGTACTTTAGTGTATTTACTAGTACATAAACAATATGTAATGCACAAAGTATCGTGCGCTAAAGCGAATAGATGTCTACTAACGTAACTGTCTAACGGAATATGGGATGAAGTGCACGATCGAGTTAAGCCAATAAGGATCTCGACAGAATAGATAGTATTAGCTGTTGCTATTGTGTAGACAGAGTCGATAGAGACCTAATATTGAGATATAACGCACATTTTAACTCATTTAAAATTTGCAAGTAAATCAAAATCAATACGCTTTATTATTGTTTTGTACGTAAAACACCTAAGCTTCCCGTTTCCTTATTTTAATAAGAAATGTTCCAATTCTAGTCTCTAGACACTAGAGGCCAGGATAAAAAGTTAGTTATTTTTTAAAATATCCTTTACTTTACGTACGTACTGTTTGAATTAATATATCTTATACAAGTTTGAGATAAATCCATGAAAAAAGTATCTTGATAAAAAATATCAAGAATTTTATAATGCAGATTGAAAAGTAAGGTTACTCATAAAATAATCATCGCTTTGAAAACGATCAAAATTATAATAATTTGAAGTCATATCTGATATACGAAATAAAACCAAAACATACTACAAGTATAGGAGTATATCCTGAAAATAATTATCAATGCTGCGCTGAGTGTCTCTCAGTTAAGTGGCTGTGGATTGCAGGGGTCCATTTAATGCAGGGATTCAATATGTTTTGGATGGCTCTTACACAAGCCTAGAATAATTTTAATTATAACGAACATTTACATAATGTAAATTCATTTTGATTTTGGTGATTGTAACGCTCTTAATTTTGGTAAAAATTACATTTATTTTAGTTTTTTATATTATGCTCAATATTTGATCATAGGATATTTTTCGTATTATTATTGATTTTATAAGTTAATTAAATATTAGTTTATCTAAGAGTAAAATCTATACATTAGAAGATATTGGTACCTTCCCTCATGAATCTTACACAATAATTGAATCACCGTCGGTAATGGACGCATTAGGACGACAAATGCTTTTACTTTGATAATAAATTATTATGTAGGTGGTACATTGGTAGTTTTGGTTCCTTACACACGTATATTGTATGCCTTTATTAAAATTAATTTCTTTTTCATATCTAATTTCTTAATCAATAAAAGCCTAATACAATCGTGGACTGGAAGATGTCTACTTTAAAGAATCAGATAAAAATTATTTAAAATGTTAATGAAACTTTTGGTTTGCATTATTACACTATTTTCCTTTATTTCTATTTATAAGTTTTAAAGTGATATGAATTTTGCATTATAACGCGTACCACTTAGATTAATGCGTACAAATTAACTATTTTAAAACCAGATCTTCGTTTTTTTTTATTTTATCTGTTCCATTATCTGTAGTTTTCTGCATTCTATTTTCTGCAATTTTACCCATCCAAAAATCGGTCAAAAGCAACTTAGATGCGCTTTTATGTAGAGCTTTAGAAGCTCCCGTCTGTTTACTGTAGCAAGGCTGCCGGTGCTGTTTATGTTAGTTAACTTAATTAACTGTATGGAGTTGAGGCTGCACTTCGCGTTACAAACTTAACCCACATGTAGTGTAAATCCTTTTAAGCGTTAACGCTTTCCTTTACTGAATTAAACCTCGCTAACAGGCTTACAATCAATTAGGATTAACTGTTATTAAGTTACTTTAAATAACTTTATGTTAAATAATGTGTTTGTTTCCGAAATTACTTTACTTGTAGAAGATTCTCACAAGTTTAAAAGATCCTGAAGTAAAATAATTCTTAAAAGTAAAATAAGTACAATCAGCTTCATAAAATATATATCAAGTTACAGAAAAGTGTAAACGCTTATGTTTTTAAAATATGTGAGCGCGTCTCGCATGCTTCCGATCATGAATATATATTTGTCGCAATCAGAAGAAGAAATCAATTTGAATTTAAGTCGTAATTAGAAAACGAGCGCCGCCAAGCGACTTTCGTGAGAACTTAGATCATTCTGAAAATAGGCATCGTTGCGAGAACATTGTTTGTACGATATGAGCTTGATAGATCGATGAATTCCTGACTGAGGAGTATTGTGGATATATTCCTGGGATCCGACTTTACCCTTTACCCATGACCGCCCACATGTGGTCTCGAGTAGTAGTAATTCTGATATCATGCTAGCTCAAGCCAAAATACTTTTTAATGGATAATTGCACTTATATTTTCGAAACCGAAGGCTTACACAAGTTTGTAAAGTTTTGTAAGTATATACATGTTTATGCTATTGATTTGCGTACAGTCAATTGGCTAATAAACTTTTTTAAAGAAATTTATATTGTAATAAACATTTGTGTTACTTGCTAAATAAATATTACGACTCCACGAAGCGAAATAAAAGTAACAATGAATAAAATACGTTCCTCAATTTTTATGAATAAGTGGAAACAGTAAATTTTGGCGACAAACTTTTTTCTTCGGCTTAAAAAGACGGAAAGGAAAAGATTAACTCAATTATTTCACGAACAATGGATCAAAAAATCTAAATAAATATAGCATTTGAAGTCTTTGTCTATTTACATAATTGATAGTTTGGGACATACCTAACAATATCCCTTTATTAACACTACGGTAGTAAACATTAGTAGGAACAGATTTAAATTATGACAGTCTAGGTGAATTGCAGAAGTAAAGTAAGATAAGATTGGACTATCTTGATACTTTACAACTCGATATCACTCTGTCCCCTGCTGTTTTCCGTCTTACACAGTGTCACATACTATCTTTTATTTTTACTTCACCAAAAATGATATTTAAACAGTTGATTTTCTTAAGTTTATTGTCATTTGTAATTAATACAAACAGTTTGGCGAGAGTCGACCCTTTAGTGGATACAAATGTCGGATTAATTAGAGGTTTACAAGCAACAGACGGTGATTATTCAATGTTTCTCGGAATCCCTTACGCAAAAGTAAACCACACAAATCCATTCGGGGTAAGTTTTGTTATAACCTTCAAAATATTTCATTAAATACGAGTTTATTTTCTTTTACAAAGTAAAAATTTGCTTTTCCAGCCATCAATCCCACTTAATAAATTCGATGGGATATTTCAAGCCGTTCATGATACTACAGGATGTCCACAATTAGATGAATTTAGTAACACAATTACTGGAACGATTGATTGTCTTCAGTTAAGTGTTTATGTACCAAACACAGCAAATTCACAAAATAAGGTCCCGGTACTTGTTTGGATCCATGGAGGAAGTTTTTATAGGGGATCTGCAAGTAAAAGTTTGTATGGACCCAAATTTCTTGTAAGACACGAAGTTATCCTTGTCACTTTAAACTATAGATTGGGTCCATATGGGTTTATGTGTTTGGATACACGTGAAGTTCCGGGAAATCAAGGTTTGAGAGATCAACTGGGTGCACTTAGATGGATAAAAAATAACATAGAAGCATTTGGTGGCGATGGAAATAAAATAACTTTATTTGGACAAAGCGCAGGCGGAAGATCCGTGGATTTTCATTTAGTATCTGACTATGAGAAACTGTTTGATAAAATTATTATTCAGAGTGGAATATCCATGTCTCCTCCAGTTATAGCACAAGTGGATAGCAGGCCAACGTTACTGCTCGCTGAGAAACTTGGTTTATCCACCAAAGATATTTTCGAAGCTTTGAATTTTCTTTCGATCACAGATCCCCATGCCGTTGTCGCTGCATCATTAGAAATTGATTTTAGATTCCGACCTTGTATTGAAAATAGTTTTGATAAGGTTGAAAAAATTATATCAGACTATACTATGAATAAAATTATCCCTAAAGTTAAGAATACACCAATGTTAGTTGGACATACTAATAATGAACGAATAATGGTTTATGTTGGTAAAGACGATGCATATCTGGAAACTCAAGACCCATTCAACGATAGACTTGAAGGTTACTTTGATTTTAACAAAACACAACTACAGGACATGAGTAACATTGTTAGACAGTTTTATATAGGAGATGAAAAAATTAGTACAAAAAACTTACAGACTATTGTGGATTTTGAATCCGATTTCACATATATGCACCCAATTCATCGCCGAATGTACCAGAACATTTATAATGGTTGTAAGAATGTGTACCATTACGTATTTTCATATCATGGCCAACGACATATATCTTTGAGAAAAGACAATGTGACGATATATGGTGCAGCTCATAGTGATGAACTCGGCTACCTGTTTGACATGCCAGTAGTGTTGGAAGATGAAATAACATTAGAAGATCAAATAATTATCGACCGAATGACTACACTTTGGACAAACTTTGCTAAATTTGGGTAAGAAATACTACTACTAAATACTAATATTATGGATGCAAAAGTTTAGATGGATGGATGGATGTTTGTTAGAGTTTGGAGCCTAAACGGCTGAACGGATTTCGATAAAGTTTGGTATAGATATAGAGGATAGTCTGGAAGAACACATAGGCTACTCACTTTTGTTTTTTTTTTAAATTACGGACGGTGTCACGGGCGTAAACTAGTCTATTATGACTTAGAAACATTCATTTTTAGTTAACATTTTTTTTTTATTTAGAGTGTTTTAATTTCGTACGCCAGGAAATTATTAACAATGTCATATCGATTTTTTCCAGTGATCCCACTCCTATTGTGTCAGACTTATTACCTGTTAAATGGATACCAGTAACAGACAGACGGATGTTTTATTATAATATTGATACAAAAGTTACTTTGGAAAGAAGAATGTTTCATAAAGAAGTAGCATTTTGGGACCTCTTCTTTAAACATAATCAACACCTTCAAAAGGGATATCGGAATATATCTAATTAAGATATACATAAAAAAACATCGCTTCTAATTTGAAATTTGTCACAAAACAATATCTTCAAATATATAAAACGAGGAAAATCCCACGATTTGTTTTTTATTTTAAGAAAATGCCGTAATTAATTCCAGATTTTTAAAAAGATATCAATCAGTTTAAAAATCAGATCTGACGGATGTATATATCAAGATAAAATATTTAATACGAATTGTGACGAAATGTTTTAAAGAAAGGTATGCTTAGATTGTATTGCTAGTAGTATCAATAAAGCCGAATACTCAAACGATATTTTAATATGTAACACCACCTCAAATAATAGGTTCATGCCTAAACTCCAAGTTGCAAAAAAAAAGTCTACCAGACTATAAGCGGCGCTTTCGTAGCGAAATGTTTAAAGGTTTCTGTTTTCGGCCAGTATAGTTAGTATTTTGTCAAATTATTTATTAATCTATACTGGGACGAATTTTAAATACTATACTTAGCGTCGCTTACAATATGACGGACATCAAGATTTTAACGGACTCTGGAGTTTCAGCGTAGCCTTATCATTTATGATGTTGCATTTCTAAATGTCGTTTCAGTGTTCGGCCGAAATTGTAATGTTACTGTCATTTTGTTTGTAATGCTAATGCTAATCAACAATCGATCATTGAGGTTACGTATTTATCAGATTTTGATGAATTATCAACATCAAAAGATATTATCTATCTAGACTAATATAATAAAGCGTAAGCACACACTACTTCGTGGCGAAGGATGTCAATATTCACAGCATATTTTTAAATAGTTCTTTCTTTAATAAAAAGCCCTGCACTTACGACACGCACTAGGCTATATATTTTAACTCTATTGAATTTAAGGCGTAAGAAAATTTGTAAACAAACAACATGTGGAAAAGGGACCATAAATTATAAACTACAAACATTAACGAAGCAATTGCGATTGACAATTTGACATGTAAAAAATTAAATAGGTTTTTACAATTTCATGCGGATGAAGCCGCAAGGGAACAGCTAGTCATATATACTCGTAATACTGTTCTGATATGAAACATGTACGATAAGATATCGTTTTTGAATAGAGTTAATCTAAGATATTAGATTAAAAAGAGCTTTATAGTTGCTTGTGTAGGACAAACAAGTTCATAGTATTTGTAAAGCTGTGGCGATTTCTGTCAGCATATGTTCCACAAAAAATGTATTTAAAAATATGTTTTGCTACCGTTATTTTTTTAATGTTATTAAACAAAAGTCAAGGTGCTGTAAGAGTGGATCCTCTAGTTGATACAAAAGTTGGTTTAATTCGAGGACTGAAGGCGGACGATGGAGATTATTCAATGTTTTTAGGTATTCCTTACGCTGATGTTGATGAAAATAACCCTTTTGGGGTGAGTAGTTTTTTTTTTAATTAAAATAAAATAAGATTTGAAACGACGTATCGAGTAAAAAATTTTACATTAATGCAGTGACTTAAAATAGATAAACCACAAACAGAAACACTCATTTTAAATTTAAGTTTATTAATGTTTCCGATTTTTTTTATTCCAGCCTTCTACACCACGTCAAAAATTTGACGGTATATTCGATGCCGTACATGACTCTGTGATATGCCCACAATTATTGGACAACGGTACAGCTGTTGGTGTCGTGGATTGTCTTCAATTGAATGTATATGTACCAAAGTCCGCGAATTCCAAGAACAAGGTACCTGTACTTGTGTTTTTCTACGGAGGCAGCTTTTACAGAGGATATGCTAACAGAGATTTATATGGCCCGCGGTTCCTTGTCAAGCATGACGTCATCCTTGTGACAGTGAACTATCGCGTAGGAGCGTATGGGTTTATGTGCTTGGATACACCTGATGTTCCAGGAAATCAAGGACTAAAAGATCTATTAGTTGCACTTCGATGGTTGAAAAATAATATCGAAGGGTTTGGAGGAGATGCCAATAAAATAACATTATTCGGTCAAAGTGCTGGAGGGAGAGCTGTAGATTTTCATTTGATATCTGAACAAGAGAAATTATTTGATAAGGTTATAATACAAAGTGGTATTTCAATTTCTCCTCCTGTTATAGGAGAAGTATATACAAGAGCACCACTGATGCTCGCTGAGAAGATCGGATTTGTTACTGAGGATGTCCCAGAAGCTTTGTCCTTCCTTGCAACGGTCGATCCACAAATTGTAGTAGCCGCAGCCTCAGATATTGATTACACGTTTAGACCGTGTGTAGAAAATGATTTCGAAAATGTTGAAAAGTTTGTTACAGATTATACAAATAACAAACAAATGCCAAAAGTTAAGACTACACCAATATTGTTAGGGTATACTGACAATGAATTGTATTTTGCACACGCAGGAAGAGACACTGAATATTTTGAAAATCTTAACATATTTGAAGATACATTGAAAAGTTACTTCGATTTCGATGATGAGCGTTTGAAGGAAATGGTGAATTTAGTCAGACAATTCTATATTGGGGATGAGAAAATGAGCACCGAAAATGTTCAAGGTATAGCCGATTTTCATTCCGATTTTACTTACTTACACCCAATTCACAGAAGGACTTACCAAAATATTTTAAATGGAGCTCAAAAGATTTACCACTATTTATTTAGTTACAACGGTAGAAGAAACATGTCGTTCCAGAGAAATGTAACAATGAGCGGCGCCGGCCATGGCGATGATATTGGTTATCTGTTCCAAAGACAGAATTTGATAAATGATGAGATAACAGTAGAAGATCAAATAATGATTGATCGAATTACAACTCTTTGGACAAACTTTGCGAAATTCGGGTGAGTTTTATAACATTTTACAGCGTATGGTAGTTATAATTAAATACAATGTTGAGTATACTCATACTGTTTTTTTAATTTTTTATAGTGCACATAACTTAATGTAGACATGTTTTTAATCGATCATTTTTACAGCGACCCCACACCGACTGTGACTGACTTATTACCGATCAAATGGGAACCGATAACAGAAGAAAAATTATATTACTACAAATTGGATTCCGAAGTCAGTCTGGGTAGTAGACCATTTAGTAAAAGAATGGCCTTTTGGGATCTGTTTTTCAAGCATAATAGAGAACTTCAGAAAGGTTACCGCAAGTCTTAAGAAGGTCAAAAGAAAATGTGTCTATGTGTATTTACAATAAATCATATTTAAATGCTCGGATGTGTATTATTGGATACCTCGCCTATTGATATCGTGATATTGATGATGATGTACTCCGTGACGTAACCGTATTTATACCGTACCGTAGTATCATTCTGTAGGAGTTTCTTGAAAGCAGTTCTTTTTTAATTTTCAATTTTTTTATATTTTATCTAGCTTTTGCGAATCTAATACTTATTTTGGATTATTGAGATGGAAAATTTGAATTTGGCATTCGTACATCTTACGTATATTTTATGATAAGATAATTGTCTTGATGTATACGAGATAAATATCGTATCAGATTATGCATTGAAGTAGTTTCCTTGTAGTAGACTTGAGTTTATCGGAATGAAGTAAAAGATCAATGCGAATTTTATTCAGTTAAAAAATATCTAACGAGATATCTCAGAGTTACAAAAATGTGCTTTAAAACGGTATTCTTAATAAGTCTCCTCATTATATCTTTCAATAAATGTCATAGTATTGATAGTCGTGTGGATCCTTTAGTCGACACTAAAGTTGGATTGATCAGAGGATTGAAGGCTGAGGATGGTGATTATTCAATGTTTTTAGGCATACCGTACGGAAAAGTGGAGGAAAGTAATCCTTTCGGTGTAAGTATTCATTCAATTAATTAAAGTAATGTTTTAATAAAAAAAATATATAACTAACATAACTGTGCAGATATCGTATCCATAAGGGTAGGCTTCGCAGTAGTTTAGTGAGTCGATGATGATGATATAGTTGTGGTGATGCATTGAATATTATCTAAAGTTTAATATTGTTATGAAAATTTTCTAGCCTTCTTTGCCACAAGAAACTTTTGAAGAAATATTTGAAGCATACGATGATTCTGCCATTTGTCCTCAAATTGAAGAATTCAACAAAACAAACACTGGCACACTTGATTGTCTCCATCTTAACATTTACGTGCCTGACGTCGCTAGTACAAAATCTCCGGTTCCAGTCCTTGTATGGATATATGGCGGAGGATTTCAAATAGGATTTGCTGGTAGATTTTTGTACGGACCGAAATACTTTGTTAGACATGATATAATTTTGGTTACTGTTAATTATCGTGTCGGACCCTACGGATTCATGTGTCTCAATGATCCAAAAGTACCAGGTAATCAAGGTTTCAAGGACCAGCTCTTGGCACTGAGATGGATAAAAGATAATATTGGTTCATTTGGAGGTAACTCTAATAAGATTACATTATTCGGAGAAAGTGCTGGTGGAATTTCAGTAGATTATCATTTATTATCTCGGCAAGAAAAACTATTTAATAATCTGATAATACAAAGTGGTACATCATTGTTACCTTCGCTCATCGGTGAACCAGAATCAACACGTACTTTTAATTTAGCTGCAAAACTCGGCTTTGAAAGTGATGACCTAAACGAAGCACTCGCTTTTCTTGCTAACCAAAGTCCAAATTCTGTTATAGCTGCTATGCAAGGAACAGACAGATTTTTGCCTTGTGTAGAAAATGATTATGAAAATGTGGATAAGTTTATATTTGATTATACTTTTAACTTAGACATTCCCAAAGTTAAAAACGTAGCAATATTAATTGGTCATAATAGTGACGAAAAACTACCATATTATATTATGGAAGAGAATATAGACTATTTTGAACATGTTGATATATTTCATGATAAATTCAATGACGCTTTTAATTTGAATTCCACGGAACTAACTAATGTAATAAATAACTTTAAACATTTTTACATAGGCGATGAGGAAATTAGTGAACAAGTACAATCTGATCTAATAGATTTTGATTCAGATTTTACCTATATTCATCCGACACAAAGAAGTATCAAACAATATACGGATAATAATGCTGGTGACATATTTTATTATATGTTTTCTTACAATGGAGGAAGAAATTTCGTCAAGAAACGCTTAAACGTAACATTCGGAGGAGCAGCTCACGCTGATGAGATTGGATATTTGTTTGATATATCTTACATGAAGGATGAACCTTCGCATGAAGACCAACTGGTCATTGACAGAATGACTACACTTTGGGCTAACTTTGTCAAATACAGGTATGTGGAAACATTACAAGTTAAACAGGTAACTTATAGTTATTGTCATTAAGAGAGGGTGCACATCTTTGACTAAACTGTCGCGCGAATGTTGCGCGATTATCGACTGTCGATTGTTTCGTAGCCTATTCAACTATTTCGTTGCAAAATTAAAAATCAAGTAGTATTCCCACCTCCATGTAAGATTATAGGAATCAAAGCACGATTAAAAAGTTGTGCGATAGATTAGTGAAAAATGTGCGCACGCTCTTAGGAATTCTCTCTTGTCTCTTAGTGATAATCTGAAAGTGGGTTTTGAGATATATATAAAACATAACATAATTTATTGGTTTACTTGTCATCAATACTTTGATTCCAAAACGATTTGCGGATTGAAGCTTTATTTGTTTTAGCAACCCAACGCCTGAATCTTCCGATTTATTACCTATCGAGTGGAAGCCAGTGGAGAATGATAAATTATATTATCTTGATATAAATGCTGAACTGACGCTGAAGAAAAGACCATTTAAAGAAAGAATGGCTCTATGGGACCTATTTTATAAACACAATTATAGCTTCCAGAAAGGGTATCGAAAATAAACTAATTAAAGCAATAAATTACACAAAAAAAAATAAAAGATTTAAAGTTAGATTTGTATTGTGCAACTTAACGGGAGAGTCTTGAATTTTATTATTTAATTTACCTTTGTCCATACGTTTGATTATTATATAATACTAAATTAAAAAAATATATTAGAGAATCTGCTCATCGTTACAATGTTTAAAAATCTATATCCCAAAGATGCTTTTAGTCAACAAATATCAAGCTTTTTTTATTTGTAGAATAATCACAATAATTGTCTAATTAAATTAGGATTATGTTCAGATGGCTATATCAAAAAGGTATAAATATGCATGTTGGATTGTGAATTCTTATGTTTCAAGCGTAAAATAAAATATTTTAAATACAATACAGACAATCAACCTCATTGGTTTTTAGTTTTTTGAATTACTAATTAACTTTATCGTGTGCATTACAATATTAAACACAAACGTTAATTAAACAAATTAATTTGCCTTTGGCCTCTTTACAAATGTTTAAAAATTTTATATCGTAGTAACATGATTTTTTACTCAGCATTACAAACTTCGATTATATAGTACTTACTATTTTTATTTCGTTGAAATTTTATGTCGTCTTTAAAACGTTTACTCTCCACTAAAGTGAACGTCGTTCGAAAATTAGAAGTCACTATAAGGTAAATTTTAATGATTCTGTAGTTAAATCCACTTAGTATTTTGATTATTATTTAATATCCTATTTCATATCATTAGTTATGGTAAGTAATTATACACATTTAATTAGCTCTGATATAAGATTAGATATTGTTTTGTTGATTTATTGCATCATACTTTTATGATTATCTGCAAAGAAATTTAGGAATAGAATTGTCTTTTTTATAAACGATCATTGCTCGGCGTGTCTTCAAACACGACAGTAGTTGCTAACAAGATCCTCTCATCAATCAGTGCTTTAACGATAAGGCTAAAAAACTAAATATGTTTTTAAAAATACAATTTATTGTGATATTTATCTATCTAACATTATTCAGTAAATGTCACAGTAAAAGTTTGGATACTCTAGTCAACACAAAGGTTGGTTTAATTCGGGGATTAAAAGCAGAGGATGGTGAATATTCCATGTTTTTAGGAATACCATTTGGTAAAGTTGAAGAAAATAATCCTTTTGGAGTAAGTATTTGCCAACTACTTGATTTAAATTATTATAGGACCGAGTTTATTACATTAAGTGTCTTAGCCTTTTTTCGTTTCCGTTTAATTAAAATATGCTGAAATCAAAGTTCAATATCACTATATCAAAAGTTGTAATAAAGACATTCTAAATTTACAGCCATCTATACCATATGGACATTTTGACGGAGTGTTTGATGCCAACGATGACTCAGCTATTTGTCCACAAACAGAAGAATTTAACAACACAATTGTTGGTTCTCTCGATTGTCTTCACTTAAACATTTACGTACCAAATAGCGCTAAGACAAACGCTCCATTACCAGTTCTTGTGTGGATATACGGTGGAGGATTTCAAATAGGATTTGCCGGTAGATTTCTGTATGGACCGAAATACTTTGTAAGGCATGATATCATTTTGGTTACTGTAAATTATCGCGTCGGACCCTATGGATTTATGTGCCTCAATGACCCGAAGGTACCAGGAAACCAAGGATTCAAGGACCAGCTTTTAGCACTGAGATGGATAAAAGACAATATCGGTTCTTTCGGAGGCAACTCGGATAAGGTTACATTATTTGGAGAAAGTGCGGGTGGGATCTCTGTAGATTATCATTTATTTTCCAAACAAGAAAAATTATTCAATAATCTAATAATACAAAGTGGTACGTCATTTTTACCTTCACTTATTGGTGAGCCGGAGGAAACTCGTACTATCAATTTAGCGGCAAAATTAGGTTTTGAAACGACAGATTTGAATGAAGCACTCTCTTTTCTTGGTAAACAGAGCACTAGTTCAGTTATACTTGCTATGAGACAGGTGCCAAGGTACTTGCCTTGTGTGGAAAACGATTTCGACGACGTGGAAAAGTTCATATCAGATTATCCTTTTAATCTGGACATACCTAAAGCTAAAGACGTTGCGATATTAATTGGCCATACTGATGATGAGAGGCTAGTACTCCACGTCAATAAAAATCCAGATTATTACGAAAACTTGAATATATTTTATGATAAGTTATCTAACGCTTTCAATTTTACTTCGATTGAACTGGCAGATATGGTTAAATATTTTAGACATTTTTACATAGGCGATGAGAATATTACGATAAAGGAACAATTTAATATTATAGATTTCGATTCAGATTTTACTTATGTCCATCCAACTTTAAGAAGTATTGAAAAATATAAAGAAAATGATGCAGGAGATATATTTTATTATGTATTTTCTTACAATGGTGACAGAAATTTTGTCAAGAAAAGGGTAAATATTACGATTGGAGGAGCAGCTCATGCTGATGAGATTGGATACTTGTTTGATATATCTTACATGAAGGATGAACCATCACACGAAGACCAGCTGGTTATTGATAGAATGACTACACTTTGGGCTAACTTTGTCAAATACAGGTATGTGTACAATCAAGAAAAAAAAATATTTTAATTGAATTTCCGTCATCTCAGTCATCACTCCTTTATTAGTAACCTTTTTACGCAATCCAGCTCTTTCTACAATTAAAAATAATAATTCAAACCAATGTTAAGATAATAAATTTGTTTCAGCAAACCAATGCCTGAGATTTCAGACTTATTACCTGTCGACTGGAAGCCGGTGGAAGATAATTTACTGCACTACCTTGAAATAGATTCAGAGCTGACATTGAAGAAACGACCTTTCAACAAGAGAATGGCATTCTGGGATTTATTTTATAGGCACAACTACAAGTTGCAAAAAGGATATAGAAGTAGGAATAACTGATATGTCATTTGTGGAAGATAATCTATTTATTTATTTAAATTTAGTGTCATCATAATTATACAATGAAAATCGACTATTATATTATTGGTTTACTATTGTTATGTATTCATCAATAAAGTGAAACTGGATGCAGCTGTCATTTGCTCGTTTTCTTAATCACCATATAAGAGGATGATAGTTGATGGGATATAAGAATATTCTTAATTTCCAGTTGATATTACTGGCCATTGTTTTCTTACCACAAGGTTTACACAGAGATAGTTATCTATATTCTGGTTTTGTAGTCATAGCTAGTAATTAATTTTAATAGCAATTTTAATAATAAACCTAAACTTACAAATAACTAAACTAGAAGTAAAACTTGCTGCTTAGCGAAAAATTAATCGTATTAAGTTAACAGAAAAATGTCAAAAACCGCAGAGCATTAATAATCCACACGACTTTACTGGCCAAGAGTTAATTGAGCGAAAACAGTCCTTTACATATTATTTGTAAAAGAGATGGAATTCCATATCGCTTAAATGTAAGTATTGGAAAAGTAGTACTTTAATTATAACTATACCTAATTAAATTAATTCGTAGAGAAAATTTTATATTTACAAGGGGTAAATATAAAATTTTATATTATTATTATTAATGTTTTTCACTTTAAAAAAATAATTATTATAATAATGGTAGAATTTTGTGCCTTTTGTGCCCCAAGTTTTGTGTCACTCCAAGGAGCGCCCACCGAAGCAATCTAAGAGCTCGGTGGCCTCCCAATCCCGAAATAACAACAAAGTAACGGCTCGTGCCGAGGCTCCCGTGGAAGCCCTCGAGTTTAGTTACTCATAAACGAGGTTTAGGCTAAGCACCATCTGTGCTCGGCCACCTCAAGCCCGGTGTATCTGTAAGTGCCTCTTCAAGGCAAACAGTGGCCATTCAGTCATAAAAAAATTACCTTATCAAACTTTGCCCTAGATCTAGTATACAAATATAATAAGGTCTTACTAAATTTGTAAATTAAGTTTATTTGACCGGAACCATTCCAGGTGTTTTGAAATAATTTTACTTTACGATGCAAATGATTATCATTTCGAAATTAAACGTTAATATATTCTACAATAAAGGGAACAAAGGGTAAAATTAATGAACGCTCATCTCGTTTACCATAAGAAACAGTCATAAAAACGAAAGTATCTTCTAAAATATTAAACGTAATTAAATTGTAAAGCGTAATAGCATCTTTAGGTTAATGATACATAAATACAACTTAATAAAATAGTTATTTAACAAGTGTTTTTATATGAAAGTGACTTGAACAAGAAAATTAACGACGCTAATAGACATCCGCAAGACGTTGCCGACCTTTGAGAAGGTACCCTTGCTTCTTGAATGACCCTAAATCTGCTTTAGAAATACTGACGAAACCACACGACTGTGGAATGCTAGCCATTGCATTAGTGTGGAGGGTATCAGTCATTTATATTAAAAGCATGAACTGTATAACCAATAGCAGTACAAATGCCCCAAGCTTAAACAACAAACGAAGATTTGTATTGGACACATATTAAAGATACTTCCTACAAAAAAAGGCTTTGGAGGCCTTTTTTTTCTCCTCACTTCAATTCTCCGGATTAGGTTTCCACAGATAAAACAATTATGCCACTAAAATGGGGCTTTAGTTTGTTCCATTACTTTTGCAGTTCTGAAACATGTTTTAAACGTATGATTTTTCGTTGATATATGAACGTCTAACAGTTAAAGATGAATGAATGGACCGAAACGGTGAACGTAATTAATTTAGCTGACGTCTACAACCATTCTTTTACTTTTTGCGGCATCTTTTTATCTACATTTGACGTTGCGAAATGTAAAACGTAAAGCTTGATCTCAATCCTTATTTTACAGACGCGAAAAGTCTATAAATCGTTCTAGAATATTCGGAAAATCTCAGATAAAATAACTAAAGGGACATGAGTACGCGATACATGAAGCACTAATCTGGCACTAACTGCGTAGTTCTATTCAATATAGTATATACCAGTAGACTTTAGAAGAGATTTGTCTCGTCATCTCCCAGTTATCCTACGCCCATAGGGTTAGCGCAATAACGTAAGTCGATAATAATTTATTTTACACTAGCTGTTCCCGTGTGACTTCACCCGCATGAAATTATGAAAATTTGATTTTATTGTTTACATTTGTCAAATTATCAATTTCAAATGTCAAAATGACATGACAACATGACAACCTTGCTTTCTTGATATTGGCAGCAACTTATGGTCTCTTTCCCACATTAGGATTTTAATCCAAAATATTTACCTCCCAAGTTTAATGGCGTTAAAATAGATAGCCTAAAACGTGACGCAAGTGTATGGCTTTTTATTAAGAAAAAAAAACGATTATTTAAAAATATGCTGTAATTGCTGACATCTTAGACAACAAAGAAGTGTGTGTTTACGCTTTATTATA